AGAACCCCAAGACGGCCCGAGAAGGGCCAAGAAGGCCCCAAGAGACTCCCGGGAGCGCCCCAGGAGGCCCCCAGCGCCGAGACGGCTTAAGAAAGCTCCCACAGAACCCCACGACGCGCCCAGACAGCCCAAGAAGACCCCAGAAGTCCATAAGAGGACACAAGGGGCCCCCAAGAAGCTCCCAACAGGCCCCAAGAGAACCCCGCGCGGCGCCAGGAGCAACGTATTCCTCCAATTGCCTCGTACTGTCCTCTGTCGTCGTCGTCGTCGTCGTCGCCGTCGTCATCATCGCCCTCCGCATTCTTCGTACTCGCCCTCGTTCTCTTCGTCCTCGTCCTTGTGCTTCTCTTCCTCTGTGCTCCTCCTCGCTATCCTCACGTTCGCCACGTCGTCCTCGTCATCGACTCCTCGTTTTCCTCGCCTTCCTTTTCTTCTTCGCCAAATACGCCCATTACACTACAGCGGCGCTTCCCGTTCTTGTCCGATCAGGTCGGGTACGCGCCGCACTTTGAAACTGCGCTGGCGGATTTTTGAAAAATGGCCGTTTCGCTCGAGACATGCTCCAAAAATCGGCCCAAGAGGGGACTCCGCATCGACGTCGTGTTTGAATCGCTGCTGGAGTGTTTTCCAACAGCCCAAGGGAGGCCCTTAAGACGCCCTGGAGAGCCCCAGGAGCGCCCAGGAGCGCCCCAAGAAGACCCCAAGAGACCCCCAAGAGCGCTCTAGGAGCCACCCAGACAGCTCACAAGAACCCCAAGACGGCCCGAGAAGGGCCAAGAAGGCCCCAAGAGACTCCTGGGAGCGTCCCAGGAGGCCCCCAGCGCCGAGACGGCTTAAGAAAGCTCACACAGAACCCCACGACGCGCCCAGGCAGCCCAAGAAGACCCCAGAAGCCCATAAGAGGACCCAAGGGGCCCCCAAGAAGCCCCCAGCAGGCCCCAAGACAACCCCGCGCGGCGCCAGGAGCAACGTCTTTCTCCAATTGCCTCGTACTGTCCTCTGTCGCCGTCGTCGACGTCGACGTCGTCGTCGTCGTCATCATCGCCCTCCGCATTCCTCCTCGTACTCGCCCTCGTTCTCTTCGTCCTCGTCCTTGTGCTTCTCTTCCTCCTCGTTGTCCTCATGCTCCTCCTCGCTATCCTCACGTTCGCCACGTCGTCCTCGGTATCGACTCCTCGGTGTCCTCGCCTTCCTTTTCTTCTTCCCCAATACGCCCATTTGACTACAGCGGCGCTTCCCGTTCTTGTCCGATCAGCTTTTTGAAAAATAGCCGTTTCGCTCGAGACATCCTCCCAACATCAGCCCAAGAGGGGACTCCGAATCGACGACGTGTTCGAATCGCTCTTGGAGGGTTTTCCAACGGCCCAAGGGAGGCCCAAGGGAGGCCCAAGGGAGGCCCAAAAGACGCCCCGGAGAGCCCCAGGAGCGCCCAAGAGCGCTCGGAGCGCCCAAGAGCGCTCGGAGCGCCCAAGAGCGCCCCAAGAAGACCCCAAGAGACCCCCAAGAGCGCTCTAGGAGCCACCCAGACAGCTCACAAGAACGCCAAGACGGCCCGAGAAGGGCCAAGAAGGCCCCAAGAGACTCCCGGGAGCGCCCCAGGGGCCCGAGAAAGCCGCGAGACGGCCCAAGATGGCGCCGAGACGGCCTGAGAAAGTTCCCACAGAACCCCACGACGCGCCCAGACAGCCCAAGAAGACTCCAGAAGCCCATAAGAGGACCCAAGGGGCCCCCAAGAAGCCCCCAGCAGGCCCCAAGACAACCCCGCGCGGCGCCAGGAGCAACTTCTTTCTCCAATTGCCTCTTAATTTCCCTCGTCGTCGTCGTCGTCATCATCGCCCTCCGCATTCCTCCTTGTACTCGCCCTCGTTCTCTTCGTCCTCGTCCTTGTGCTTCTCTTCCTCCCCGTTGTCCTCATGTTCCTCCTCGCTATCCTCACGTTCGCCACGTCGTTCTCGTCATCGACTCCTCGTTGCCCTCGCCTTCCTTTTCTTCTTCGCCCAATGCGCCCATTAGACTACAGCGGCGCTTCCCGTTCTTGTCCGATGAGATTTTGTTTCTTCTTCTTCTTCTTCTTCTTATTCTTCTTCTTATTGTTCTTCCTCCTCGTCCTCGTCCTCGTACTTATCGTCTCCATCTGCCTCCCGCTACGCGAGCTAGAGGGTTACGCCCTTTGCGACGGCATTTGTTCGAGGGGTCCACAGCTGACTCCTCTTTTCGAATTCTCACGCGCCAGCTTGCATGGCTTCGTGACTCATCCCAGACGTCGATGGTGCATGTGTGCCCCTCCGCCTCCCGCCCCGCCCCCCCCAGCCTTGCCCTCATCCCCATCTCGTGCCCCAGCTCTGAGATCCGACGCAGCATCGTTCTGCCCGCGTCTTCGAGCCAGACCGACCTGCGAGGGCCTCGGGGCCCGAGACGCCCATCCCGAGAAGATCGACAGGTCAGGATCAAAGGTAAGTCCCTGTTGGGGTGGGGGGGCATCGGCACCCCCCAGGCCGGGACCGCCACCCACCCCTTGCTCACGTGCGGCGAACGCGTCCGTATCCGCGCCTTCGCGGTCTGGGCTCCAGGCCGCGATCACGCGGATACGCGGTCGCACTGAGACATCTTGCGCGGCGCTTCCGCGAAAAAAAACACGCACCGCATCCGCGGGGTCGTTACCCAGGAGCCCAGCCCGCGAGAACGCGGACACGGTTATGTTTCGAGTAGGAGACCGCCTATCTACATAATCGATTTACCCCAAAATCAAAGCTTTCGTCGAATCTACAACACATATGTAAAATGTTCGTAGATGCGGCAACCAGTTTACGCATGCTAGGCAGACTCGATGAACGTGTCAATTTTGGGGTAGATCAATTCGGTAGTCGATCTCCTCGTCAAATTCTTTTCGCCCGCGACCTTTGGCGGCGCCCGGCCCCTCCGCCGACCCCGCCGCTGACCTCGGCGCCTCGCTGCGCTCGCGCTCGGGCCAAGACTGGATGGCCCGCGCGCTGGGCGCGCTGGGCGCGGGCCCCAAGGGGGACGGTCGGCCGGGGCCTCGGCGGCGGCCGAGCGGCGGCCCTCGGCGCGTTGGCCGCCGCCGCCGCCGTCGTGGGCCGTCGTCCTCGTCGTCGTGCTCGTGCTCGTCGTCGTCGTCGTCGTCGTTCACATCGGCCCTTTCTTCCATCCTCCCTCTTGAGGCTCTGCCTCCTCCTCCTCCTCCTCCGCCTCCTCCTCCTCAGTTTTTTCCTACATGTTCCTCATCCATCTCCTCCTCCTCCTCCTCCTCCTCCGCTTCCCTATCTCACTTCCTCCCTTCCCTCCCTCCCTCGATTTTCCCTCCCTCCCTCCTTCTCTCCCCCAGCGCAGTCGCGCGCTCCTTAGGATGGAGTGTGGACGGGGTGGGAGGATGGAAAAACGAGAGAGGTGGTAGGCGGGAGGATGGAAGGACGGTTGAGAGAGGCACGGCAGGAGGGATGGGCTGACAGAAGCCCCGATTCTACGATGTCTCCACCGCAGCAGGGCGTTCAGACCTCCAGTGAGCCTCGAAGCATGCTCTGATTACCTGCGCCTTTGGTGAGTTCAAGTGGGGGATCCCGGAGAGCGCCGCGGCTGTCACTTCCTCTAGCTCGGTCGTGGATAGCCCGCGCTGCGCCAGAGGTTGCCAGAGGTGCTCCTGGCCCAGGGTGCCCTCAGCTCTCCGTGCCATTCCATGGAGCCCCCACGGGCCTCCCGGGGACGCCCCTATAGGCCAAGGGACGCTGATCCCAAACTTGCGAGTCCTCGATTTGTTCCGCACGCGGTCCCCAGAAGGCCTGACGCTTTTCCCGGGGCGGGTGTTTCATTCCGGGCCGCTTCTTCTGGCGGTCCCGGGGCCCGCCGAGGGCCCCCGGAGGCCGACAATCGCCAACCGTGTTCCGTCGTGTTTTCCCACGACGCGAGCACGTCTGGGTCGGCAGCCTCTGGTTGTGTCGGACTACCCGCGCCGCGTCTCGCTCCGAGGCGACGAGAGCGACGAGGAGTCCGGGAGCGACTTGGAGGGCGGCGGCAAAGCTGCCGCCGGCCAGGTCGGCGGTGCCCCAGCGGACGAGGTGGCCGCGGACGTGGAGCTGCTGCGCGTCACGGAGGCCATCGTAGACACCATCAGCAGCATGCACGCAGAGCCGAAATGACAAGCAAGTGGGCGCTTGCTGCGCTCCCGCTCAGTAACGGAGGAGGGCCAGTCGAAAACGGCGAGTCTCTCTGGCGTGGTTCGTCCTTCTTGGGCCTTCTGGAGGCTTCTCGGCGTCACAGCTGGATCCCAGTCGAAAAATGTGCCAGGATGGACCCCAGGAGGGGTCTGGAGAACGAGTTGGAGCGGATCTAGGTCGGGCGGGAGAGCCGTCGTTGTTTGAATTGCCCTTCCTCCGAGCAGGGCCATTCCAATCCCTGCTGGGGACAGGGTTTAAGGTGGGTCTCCCAGCATGCCCCTCCTTGATGGGGTTGGGCGCTGCGGAGCCCGAACGAGATGGCACACCCATCAGCACCCAGGAACGGTAGGTGGGCCAGCGGGGCCAAGGGTTCCCTGGTGGGGGCTGGGATGGCTTCACTTGTCCAGAAGTTTACTGTGCATGTGCGTTTGCCTCGCTCCCGCGCGACGCTGCTTGGGATTGACTTCGGACTCCACCTACTCTGCGCTGCGAGTGGCAGCAGAAACTTGCGCCGACGAAAAGAGCAAAGAACGTGATCTGCTGGTCCACAGGGACGAAGCGACACAGCTTTGGCTTGATCCGTGGTTCAAGTAGGGGGCCAGGGAAGGACAACAACAGGAGGAGGGGGAAGCCCTGGGCCCCGCAGTCATAGGAGGACTCGGATCCGCTGCGCCCGAAGGCGGCGACGGTGCAGAAGGACGGGCCCGTTGCCGCTTCTCCCCGGTGGCGGGAGGCGCGCCCCCGGACCGGGCGGTAGGCTCGAGGCCTCCGAGTCGCCCGCCATGCTCGGGCGCTACGCCGCGTCCCGGGGATGTGCCGCGGGCCGCTGGCATGGGCAGGCCTGTCGCTCGTGGCACCCGACTGCGGCAGGCGGTGCAGGATAGCTTTGCGCACACGGGGCGTGGGGAAGCTTGGAGCCGGCTGGGGGCCGAGGTGACCCAGCAGGAGAATGAGGGGGAGAAGGGGCCCCACGTCGCTGTTGCTGGGCGCGGCTCGAAAAGCTAGTCAGTGACGACCTGGGGAGGGCTCCAGAGACAGATTTTGAGAGAATTTGCCTCCATTCCCCCCTCTTGACTGATTGTCCTTGATCTGTCCAGCTCAGACCCCTGGGCCGCCTCCAAGAGGAATCGGAGTCCTGAGGGAAAGGGGTCATGGGGTCTTCTCGCTGTTTTCGGTGTCCTGGAGCCCCTGCTGGGCCCGGGGGCAGTCAAAGAACGGTTCGGCAGGATGAAGGGCTGGCCCCGGGAGGGCCCCCCGTTGGAGCCCCCAGGATCAGGACCTGCACTTTCTTTCAGGACGCCCTTCCTTCATGCCAATCTCTCTTGCGCCTTGCTCATACGCCCGATTCTTTTCTCGTGCGCAACGCACGGTTGCACACGCAGTGGATGCATTGTGGTGGTTGACCCTTCGACGGTCTTAGATATTCTGGTAGGTGCACCGTATCTTCCGGGGTTGCAGTGGCCCTTTAAGACAGTTTAAGTATTGGAATTGGTGTGGCTGTCAAGCTGCTGTGCTGTCATAGTGCTAACAATTCGGTGTAGCGCCATACGTGAGTGGAGCAACGTTGGTGATTTTGGTGGCCATGGTTCAAGGCGCATGGCGTCTTTGTAGCTGGTATAAGTAAGCTGCTCGTAAGTGATCGGATGACTGCCTTCGCCATGTCATGTGCGTTGTGTTGCTTACTGCGTTGCTGTGACTGTAGTATTTCTCGTGCATGCGCAACCGTCCGTCCGCTTCATTTCGTTTGTCAGTTTCCCATCTCCCATTTTAGGCGCCTTCAGAGGGCCTCGCCTTCAAGGGATCTAGAGGTTGGCATTCCTTCTTCGGCGGACGACTGTGGAAGTAAAACGGGGGGCGGCTTTGCTACCGAAGTCGGCGGAAGTCAGTGGAAGTAGAACATGCGCCCTTAAGAGATGGCAGCATTGTTGGATCCAGAGTTGCGGGCAGGACGTGGTATAGTTTTCCTCTTCTCCGTTGTCGACACTCCGCATCCCTATAGAGCCATGCGATGTCTTGATTTGTTCCCAACCATCCTGTGGTGTTGGGTCCTCGTTTTGAAGAGACGGTGCCCGCGTCCTCTCCTCCTCCTCCTCCCCCTCCTCCTCCCTCCTCCCCCTCTTCCCTGCGTTTCACCCACCCAGGGCAGCGCTTCGTAGCCCCATAGGGAGCTCCACCGAAGGCCCCAGTGGGGGTGTTCGCATGCGGTTCCCCCACCCAGGGCAGCGTTTCGTGGCCCCATAGGGAGCTCCACCGAAGGCCCCAGTGGGGGTGTTCGCATGCGGTTCCCCCACCCAGGGCAGCGTTTCGTAGCCCCATAGGGAGCTCCACCGAAGGCCCCAGTGGGGGTGTTCGCATGCGGTTCCCCCACCCAGGGCAGCGTTCGTGGCCCCATAGGGAGCTCCACCGAAGGCCCCAGTGGGGGTGTTCGCATGCGGTTCCCCCACCCAGGGCAGCGTTTCGTAGCCCCATAGGGAGCTCCACCGAAGGCCCCAGTGGGGGTGTTCGCATGCGGTTCCCCCACCCAGGGCAGCGTTTCGTGGCCCCATAGGGAGCTCCACCGAAGGCCCCAGTGGGGGTGTTCGCATGCGGTTCCCCCACCCAGGGCAGCGTTTCGTGGCCCCATAGGGAGCTCCACCGAAGGCCCCAGTGGGGGTGTTCGCATGCGGTTCCCCCACCCAGGGCAGCGTTTCGTAGCCCCATAGGGAGCTCCACCGAAGGCCCCAGTGGGGGTGTTCGCATGCGGTTCCCCCACCCAGGGCAGCGTTTCGTGGCCCCATAGGGAGCTCCACCGAAGGCCCCAGTGGGGGTGTTCGCATGCGGTTCCCCCACCCAGGGCAGCGTTTCGTAGCCCCATAGGGAGCTCCACCGAAGGCCCCAGTGGGGGTGTTCGCATGCGGTTCCCCCACCCAGGGCAGCGTTTCGTGGCCCCATAGGGAGCTCCACCGAAGGCCCCAGTGGGGTGTTCGCATGCGGTTCCCCCACCCAGGGCAGCGTTTCGTAGCCCCATAGGGAGCTCCACCGAAGGCCCCAGTGGGGGTGTTCGTATGCGGTTCCCCCACTCAGGGCAGCGTTTCGTGGCCCCATAGGGAGCTCCACCGAAGGCCCCAGTGGGGGTGTTCGCATGCGGTTCCCCCACCCAGGGCAGCGATTCGTGGCCCCATAGGGAGCTCCACCGAAGGCCCCAGTGGCTGTTCGCATGCGGTTCCCCCACCCAGGGCAGCGTTTCGTGGCCCCATAGGGAGCTCCACCGAAGGCCCCAGTGGGGGTGTTCGCATGCGGTTCCCCCACCCAGGGCAGCGTTCGTGGCCCCATAGGGAGCTCCACCGAAAGCCCCCGTGGCGCAGTTCGCATGCGCTTCCCCCACCCAGGGCAGCGTTTCGTGGCACCATAGGGAGCTCCACCGAAGGCCCCAGTGGCGCAGTTCGCATGCGGTTCCCCCACCCAGGGCAGCGTTTCGTAGCCCCATAGGGGCTCCACCGAAGGCCCGCCCCGGTGGCGCAGTCCGCATGCGGTTCCCCATCCAAGGCAGCGCTTCGTGGCCCATATGGAGCCACCACCGAAAGCGGGCACCCACCAACGCGTTACACAATTGCTTATGGTTGGGTCTTCGCCAGGATAATTTTCCCAACCATTCTGTCGGGTTGGGTCCTCGTTTTGAAGACACGGTGCCCCGCGTTCCTCCTCCGCCTCTCCTCCTCGCCCTCCTTGCCTCTGCTCTCGGCCACAACCTCTCATGCGCGTTTCGTAGGACCCCATAGGGAGCCTTCCACGAAGGCCCCAGTTGGGGGTCCTGTTCGCATCATGCGGTTCCCACAACCCAGGGCAGCTTTTACCCAGGGCAGCTTTCGTGGCCACATAGGGGAGCTCCACCGAAGGCCCCAGTGGGGGTGTTCGCATGCGGTTCCCCCACCCAGGGCAGCGTTTCGTTGCCCCATAGGGAGCTCCACCGAAGGACCCAGTGGGGGTGTTCGCATGCGGTTCCCCCACCCAGGGCAGCGTTTCGTAGCCCCATAGGGAGCTCCACCGAAGGCCCCAGTGGGGGTGTTCGCATGCGGTTCCCCCACCCAGGGCAGCGTTTCGTGGCCCCATAGGGAGCTCCACCGAAGGCCCTAGTGGGGGTGTTCGCATGCGGTTCCCCCACCCAGGGCAGCGTTTCGTGGCCCCATAGGGAGCTCCACCGAAGGCCCCAGTGGGGGTGTTCGCATGCGGTTCCCCACCCAGGGCAGCGTTTCGTGGCCCCATAGGGAGCTCCACCGAAGGCCCCAGTGGGGGTGTCCACATGCGTTTCCCCCACCCAGGGCAGCGTTTCGTGGCCCCATAGGGAGCTCCACCGAAGGCCCCAGTGGGGGTGTCCACATGCGGTTCCCCCACCCAGGGCAGCGTTTCGTGGCCCCATAGGGAGCGCCACGAAGGCCCAGTGTGGGGTGTTCGCATGCGGTTCCCCCCATCAGGGCAGCGTTTCGTGCCCCATAGGGGAGCTCCACCGAAGGGCTCCCAGTGGGTGTGTGTTTCCGCACATGCGGTTTCCCGCCACCCAGGGCAGGCGCTTCGTGGCCCATAGGGAGCCCCACCGAAGCCCCCATAGTGGGTGGTGTTCCGCATGCGGTTTTCCCCCACCCGGTGCAGCGTTTTTCACGTTTAGCCCCAAGGGCGCTCCACCGAAGGCCCCAGTGGGGGTTCGCATGCGGTTCCCCCACCCAGGGCAGCGTTGGTAGCCCCATAGGGCAGCTGCGGTGGCCCCATAGGGAGCTCCACCGAAGGCCCCAGTGGGGGTGTCGATGCGGTTCCCCCACCCAGGGCAGCGTTTCGTGGGCCCCATAGGGAGCTCCACCGAAGGCCCCAGTGGGGGTGTTCGCATGCGGTTCCCCCACCCAGGGCAGCGTTTCGTGGCCCCATAGGGAGCTCCACCGAAGGCCCCAGTGGGGGTGTTCGCATGCGGTTCCCCCACCCAGGGCAGCGTTTCGTAGCCCCATAGGGAGCTCCACCGAAGGCCCCAGTGGGGGTGTTCGCATGCGGTTCCCCCACCCAGGGCAGCGTTTCGTGGCCCCATAGGGAGCTCCACCGAAGGCCCCAGTGGGGGTGTTCGCATGCGGTTCCCCCACCCAGGGCAGCGTTTCGTGGCCCCATAGGGAGCTCCACCGAAGGCCCCAGTGGGGGTGTTCGCATGCGGTTCCCCCACCCAGGGCAGCGTTTCGTAGCCCCATAGGGAGCTCCACCGAAGGCCCCAGTGGGGGTGTTCGCATGCGGTTCCCCCACCCAGGGCAGCGTTTCGTGGCCCCATAGGGAGCTCCACCGAAGGCCCCAGTGGGGGTGTTCGCATGCGGTTCCCCCACCCAGGGCAGCGTTTCGTGGCCCCATAGGGAGCTCCACCGAGGCCCCAGTGGGGGTGTTCGCATGCGGTTCCCCCACCCAGGGCAGCGCTTCGTGGCCCCATGGGGAGCTCCACCGAAAGCCCCCGTGGCGCAGTTCGCATGCGCTTCCCCCACCCAGGGCAGCGTTTCGTGGCACCATAGGGAGCTCCACCGAAGGCCCCAGTGGCGCAGTTCGCATGCGGTTCCCCCACCCAGGGCAGCGTTTCGTAGCCCCATAGGGAGCTCCACCGAAGGCCCGCCCCGGTGGCGCAGTCCGCATGCGGTTCCCCCATCCAAGGCAGCGCTTCGTGGCCCCATATGGAGCCCCACCGAAAGCGGCACCCACAACGCGTTACCAACAATTGCTTATGGTTGGGTCTTTCGCCAGGATAATTTTTTATGCGGCCCCCTGAAGTCCCGACCCTTTTCCAAGGGCAAGTGTTTCATCCCGAGCCGTTTTTTGACGGCCCCGGGGCCCTGCGAGAGCCTTCGGATGCCGAAATTAGCCAACAACATCCTGATGTTCTTTTGGTCAAGACGCGAGCATGTCTGAGTAGACATCCAGCCGCGCGTTTTTGTTCGAGACGCGGGCCCCCTGACTGCCATGGACCTGTTCTCCCAGGCCAGTGTTTCGCCCCGCGAGCTGCTTCTGACGGCCTCGGGCCCCTAAGCCCTGACCACCCGAGGGGCCAGCCATGGAGGAAAATCGGCCGCCCGAATTCTGCTCGAGCCGCTGGATCTATGGGCCTCCCCAGGCGATCGCGCCGTGAAATTACCCTGTGAGGTACCCAACCCATTTGTATCAATGGAAACGAGGAGTTGGCCGAAACTTGCATGGACAATCAACTTGATGTGTAAGCTACTTGGGACACGCACCTATGGCATGATGCGCAGGAGAACCATACAAGAACGAGGGGCGACAGCGACAGGCTCGAAGAGGACATGGGGAGTCGGGAACGCAGATCAGGAGAAAAACGTGCGCGACACCGAACCATCAGCACGGCAGCAGCAGAGGGAAGGTGACTGCAGGAGGAGAACAAGGACAAAAGCGGCGTCTAATTTGAATCCGCGGTGAGTACCCACTGTGCTGGGCCCCCCAGCAGCCTTCGAAAGCGGCGACAGTTTCACATATCGCAGCCCCCCAGGGATGGCGAGGTCTAATTTGAATCCGCGGTGGGTACCCACTGTGCTGGGCCCTCCAGCAGCCCTCGAAAGTGGCGACATTTTCACAGATCGCAGCCCCCCAGGGATGGCGAGGTCTAATTTGAATCCGCGGTGAGTACCCACTGTGCTGGGCCCCCCAGCAGGCCTCGAAAGTGGCGACAGTTTCACAGATCGCAGCCCCCCAGGGATGGCGAGGTCTAATTTGAATCCGCGGTGAGTACCCACTGTGCTGGGCCCCCCAGCAGGCCTCGAAAGTGGCGACAGTTTCACAGATCGCAGCCCCCCAGGGATGGCGAGGTCTAATTTGAATCCGCGGTGAGTACCCACTGTGCTGGGCCCCCCAGCAGGCCTCGAAAGTGGCGACAGTTTCACAGATCGCAGCCCCCCAGGGATGGCGAGGTCTAATTTGAATCCGCGGTGGGTACCCACTGTGCTGGGCCCCCCAGCAGGCCTCGAAAGTGGCGACAGTTTCACAGATCGCAGCCCCCCAGGGATGGCGAGGTCTAATTTGAATCCGCCCGTGGCCACTGTGCTGGGCCCCCCAGCAGGCCTCGAAAGTGGCGACAGTTTCACAGATCGCAGCCCCCCAGGGATGGCGAGGTCTAATTTGAATCCGCGGTGCCCACTGTGCTGGGCCCCCCAGCAGCCCTCGAAAGTGGCGACATTTTCACAGATCGCAGCCCCCCAGGGATGGCGAGGTCTAATTTGAATCCGCGGTGAGTACCCACTGTGCTGGGCCCCCCAGCAGCCTCGAAAGTGGCGACAGTTTCACAGATCGCAGCCCCCCAGGGATGGCGAGGTCTAATTTGAATCCGCGGTGAGTACCCACTGTGCTGGGCCCCCCAGCAGCCTCGAAAGTGGCGACAGTTTCACAGATCGCAGCCCCCCAGGGATGGCGAGGTCTAATTTGAATCCGCGGTGAGTACCCACTGTGCTGGGCCCCCCAGCAGGCCTCGAAAGTGGCGACAGTTTCACAGATCGCACCCCCCCAGGGATGGCGAGGTCTAACTTGAATCCGCGGTGAGTACCCACTGCGCTGGGCTCCCCAGCAGGCTTCGAAAGTGGCGACAGTTTCACAGATCGCAGCCCCCCAGGGATGGCGAGGTCTAACTTGAATCCGCGGTGAGTACCCACTGTGCTGGGCCCCCCAGCAGCCCTCGAAAGTGGCGACAGTTTCACAGATCGCAGCCCCCCAGGGATGGCGAGGTCTAATTTGAATCTGCGGTGTGTACCCACTGTGCTGTGCCCCTCAGCAGCCCTCGAAAGTGGCGACAGTTTCACAGGTCGCAGCCCCCCAGGGATGGCGAGGTCTAATTTGAATCCGCGGTGTGTACCCACTGCGTTGGGCCTCCCAGCAGGCCTCGAAAGTGGCGACAGTTTCACAAGTCGCAGCCCCCCAGGGATGGCGAGGTCTAATTTGAATCCGCGGTGAGTACCCATTGTGCTGGGCCCCTCAGCAGCCTTCGAAAGTGGCGACAGTTTCACAGATCGCAGCCCCCCAGGGATGGCGAGGTCAAAGGCAGGGGGGAAGAGAGGGACGGGAAGGAAGGAAGGAGACGCGCGAGCAGTGCTCTATTCAAAATGAGAACCCAACGCAGGAGGGTTGGGAAAAAACACGACGGGTGGTCATTGGCGCGAGGGCCCTCGCCAGGCCCCGGGACCGTAAGGGCCCAGGGGCCCGAAAACCCAGCGAAAACGCCCGGCTCGAGAAATTTGAGACGCCAGGCTTTCACGGAAAACCAAAACATCTCATGTCTGGGGGGCCCGAGATGGTTCCAGCATAGCCCAACACGACCCAAGATGGGTCCAAGAGGGTTTCCAGCATGCCTCCAAGAGGCCCCAAGGCGTGCCCAAGACTGCTCCAAGTGGCCGCGGAGCCTCCCCAGGACGCCCCCGATATGACAAATTCTGTATACAAATCGTTGGTGCTTCAATCATGTTGGCTTTCTCGCCGATTCGCTTCCCATGGGTTTCGGAGGCCCCAAGATGGCCCCAAGAGAGACCGAAGAGGGGGCCCTGAGGGCGCCAGGAAGGCACCAGGGAGCGCCCAAGAGCCGCCGGACCTCTGGGCCTCTCCAGTCGGCGCCCCCCGTCGGCACGGCTCCGTGGTGCTCCCGGCGACGAGGGGCGTTGGGCACCCCGCGCGGGCCAGGCAGCGCCAAGTGGGGGTCGCCACCCAGGGAAGAGGGGTCGCCAGCTTCTCGACGAGGAGACCCCCTCCCAGACTTTCTCGGTCGCGGCGGCGCGGATCCACACGCCGCGTTCGAAGGCAGCCGAGGGACACTACGGGGCCCAATTGAACCCTACAGAAGCGGAATGAGAGCAGGCGCGCGGGAAGGGGACGGAGAGCACGCTCAGGGCATGAAGTCTTTGCACGTGTGTGCCGGAGCGCGGGCGTGAGCGGCAGGGACTCGTAGAAGTCCAAGGACGTGAGTAGCATTCGTATCCAGGGGCCACGAACTCAGGGTGTTGCCAGAAGGTGCGTTGCAACAAGTAGAGCAAACAGCACAGAGTTCCGGTGAAGGTACGATCCCCTCCCGAGACATGTTCGCGTCGCGGCAGGAAGCACGACGGGAGTTTTTTGGCAGCTTTCGGCTTCCGGGGGCTCTCACCGGACCCCGCGGGGCCGTCAGAAGACGGCTCGAGAGGAAGAGTTGGCCTTCGGGAAGGGGTAAGGACTTCCAGGGACCGCGCAGATGGAAAAAATCCAGACATCGCACGTCTGGGCTCAGGACCCCCAGACCACCCCAGATCTACAGGAAGCCGACCATAAATATATAAAGGCCTCCGCGATCCTCGAAGCTCGATCCTCAGGAGGAGCTCGCGACCCTTTTGATTCGTTTACAGAACCACATCCCAAACATGCGCAACATCCTCATCGATTCTCGAAGCTCGCAGCTCAAGCCTTCTAACTAATGTGGCGGCTCTCCTTGGCATTGCCTGAGCAGATGGCCATCCGCCACTAAAGGATGGGAACAGTGGTTGCAGACACACCCCCAGTGGATTGCTCCTAGGCCTGAGGCGGGGAGGGCGGCGGCTTATAGAGCGATGCTAGACACCGCCACCCTACCTGAGGCGAAGGAAAGTTCCCCGGCGGGCCCAGACATCCGGTGTGCTGATGTGTTCCGATCCGGGTTCCCACAAGTCCCGACTCGTTCCCACGCGCTAGTTTTTGATCCTGAGTCGTCACGTGACGATTTAAGAGCCCCGAACCAGCCCCAAGAAGCCGAAAACGGCGAGCAATTTCCGCCTTGTGTTTGCTCAAGGCGTTGGAGGCCTGGGTCTGTCTGTGAGTTCCCAGACCTGCGACGTCTTCATTGTTTCAATGCGGAGTCCCAGAAGTCCAGACTGGCTCCCCAGGGCCACCTTTCATCCCAAGCCGTTTTGTTGACGGCCCAGGGGCCCGGCGAGGGCCCCCAAAGGCTGAAGATTACCAAACATTTCCCCTCGTGATTTTTGTAACGATGCGAGCATGTCTGGGATTCTAGGCCTCCTTGGTGTGGTCCGAGTAGATGGGGTCGGAGGATCACGCCGCATCGCCAATGCATCGGCGATGCAGCTCGACGTGGAGCCCGATGTTCTTCACTCTGGCGTCGCCGATGTATCGCCGATGCATCGCCGATGCATCGACGATACACCGGCGATGCACTGGCGATGCGGCGCGATCCTACGACCCCGTTTGCTTCGAACCCATTTGGGAGGCCTCTCGGGATGCTTGTGGCGCAGGTGACGAGGGGCGCCGGGCAGCCCGTGCGGAGGGCTCGGTCTGCCGCCGCCCTGCCGCCGGCGCCCTCTGGCGCCCGCGCGGCGCTGGCGCCGCCTTGCCGCTGGGCGGGCGGCCGTGCTCGGGCCGGGCAGGCTGGCCGGGCGAAGGCCGATCCGAGTTCTGCGTCGTCGTCGTCGCTGGAGGAGCAGGAGGAGGAGGAGGAGGGGGAGGAGGAGGAGGAGGAGGAGGAGGAGTCGAGTAGGGGATCGACTACAGAATCGGTTTACCCCAAGCTTGACTTCCCCGTCGAATCAGCGCAAACATACGTAGAATGCTCCGTAGATCTACGAAGGTTTCCACGTACTGTGTCGGAACGCTCCAGAACGCTCTCAGAGCGTTCTGGAACTCTCTGAGAAGGTCGCGGCGCCCGATACATCCTCCAGAGCCACCGGACCTCAGAGATTCTCAATGTGGCCTCACCCGATGTCATCATTGTCGTGGTTTCGTCTTAGGAGTAGGCAGGAGGCAGCAGGAGGAGGGAAGGGGAACGAGGAGGAGGAGGAGGAGGAGGAGGGGGAGGAGGAGGAGGAGGAGTAGGGGGAGGACGAGTGTAAACCCTAGACGCGCCATCGACATTGCAATCACCCCCCCCTCCAAGTTCCTTCTTCGTAGTTCCACACAAGCAATGATCTGCACTGCGGGAAGTACCCGAGTAAAAGACAGCGGCTCAAGAATCCCCAACCGTGACTTCAACACCGCGACTCAACGTCATTGCTGCATCCTGACAATCCTACATCGCGCCAGAACGCCATTCCTGGGATGCTCAACACCGCGAATCGATGTCATCGTTGAGTGTTGACAAACGTGAACCGATCCAGAACACAATCCCCGGAATTTCAATCATACGAGTTCTTGAAACTGCTGCAGCATTTTAGAACGAATGTGCGCGGCGCTAATGCGAGAGCCACATCATGAAAACGGGCCGCACTCCATCCTTGAACCTGTCGCAAATTGTCGGACGAATGTTCGCGGCGCTAAGTCGAGTAGGCAAGAGCCAAACTTTGAAAATGGGCCGCCCTCCATCCTTCAACCTGCTGCAGACGGTTAAGACGAACGTGCGCGGCGCTGACGCAAGAGCCACAGTTTGCAAACGATCCAACTTCCATCCTTGAAGCTGTCGCAGAATTCAGAAATCAGGATCACACGAGGAAGTCTCAGGCCAAACGCCCGGCCCGCCCTACCGATATGTCTGGGGGTGCGACAGGGAGGAGAGATTCCTAAGGAAAAGGGATTGATGAGGGGAACGGGGGCAGGAGGGAGGAGGGAGCAAGGAGGAGGAGGAGGAGGGAGGAAGGACGAGGGAGGAGGAAGACGAGGAGGAGGAGGAGGAGGAGAATGGGGGAGAGGGTGGAGGAGGGAGGAGGGAGAACGATGAGAGAGGGACTTCCAGGACTTCCGCCATCACGTAGTGATATTACACAAGCCGCCCTCTGAGCTCGACAACGAAGACGCCGAACCAGAGGACGAAGGACAGGTACCAGCAGAAACTTATAAATATTGCCCAGACGCAGAAGCTGACCCATACACGACCTGACAACAGCAATACCACGAGAGAACTGCCATGCCAGCCCAAATACGTATAAAAAGTGAAGCTGTGCCGCCGAATTGACACCACATTGACATAACCAGTGGCTAAGCGGAAGTGAGTTTGACTCTATAAGGCCCTAGCCGTGGATCACTGGGCTAACTCTCGCAATGAAGGAAGGAGCTCGCCTCACCCACAGACCACCTCGCCCCAGCCGAACAACGGAAGTGCCACCGACAGCAGAAGCCCCAGACTGCAATACTTGCAAAAGTCAGCATGCTTGCAATACAACCCAGAGCAGGATACAGAAGCATACAAAATTGTAAGAAGAGATGGTACGCCCAGGCCGTGGGGTGAAGGGCTTAAGTGGGCTCGCAGCCCCCGTGCCTCCAACCCAACCCTTGGCATGGGACGGAACTTCAGGAAAATGAGCGGCAGATGTACGCCCAGGCCGAGGGATGGAGGGCTTAGGTGGGCTCGAAGCCCGCGTGCCTCCAACCCAACCCCCGCCCTGGGTCGGAACTTGCAGAAAACTCCCGTGAACACTGACCATACCCAGAGCAGCCGAAATGGAAGTACCCTCCAGCTCGTTCTGCCTTAACCATGGCCCTGTAACGTTCAGTAAAAAAACTGCACATATTGCCAACTCGAAGACCTTGCCCAAAACAGCCCTTTTGGAGAAGGCACCACGTCGCGAGACGGCCTAATGATACCCTCCATATTGTTATGCCTCTGCCCAAGGCCCCAATAGAACTGCATGCGTAGCCGATGGGAGACGAGTTCACCTGGATCTAGCCAACGTCCACCCGATTGAAGCCCTTGTCAATCATGAGACGTGCCCCTCAAGCGCCACGAGGAGGCATCCGGGTGTGACGCCAAGGCGAAGGTTGAGCCAAAAGGATCTCCGCGCCTTGGGCCACATGTGCTTGAGCCAAAATGGCTACGGAACGATGAGAGAGGGAGTGAGGAAGGTAGGAAGGAGGCCAGGAGAGACGTCTGCCATCTAGCCCTCGGCTACGCGTAAGAGTGACCCTTCGTTGGAGTGACAGCTTGTGCGGGCCCAGTGTGATCCCCCGATCGCTGGATGCGATGCGATGGCAGCGGCTTGTGCGCTTGGGTTTGCCCCCCCCCCCCAACTCCCCTGCGCCCCCCTGAAACAACGCACCAAAGGTCACTCTTACTGAGTGTCACTCGGCTTTTGGGCCACAACACGGGTCTCTGGCGGGGTTCCACGACGCGAGCAGGTCTGTTGAGGGCTCGGCCTTCCGAGGCCACCTTGGCGGAAGCCACGCACCACATGTCGCTGTTGTCTGGGGGCCTGGAGCCTAGTCGTCGGCGGCGGTGGCGGCGTCGGAGTCGGCGTCGGCGTCGACGTCGGCATCGGCGACAGCGTCGGCTGGTGTCGGCATCGTCGTGGTCGTCGTCGGCGGCGGCGGCGTCGGCGTCGGCGTCGGCGTCGGCGTCTTGGCGCGCCGCCGAGAAGCCCCGAGCCTGCTCGCAGGCGGTGCCGCGGGTGGCGACGCGCGCAGCTCGCCCGGCGCGGACGGCAGGTCCATCGGGGGCCCGCTGGACATCGCGGCGCGCGCGGCGGTCGTGGGCACGACCTCCTGGGCGCTGCTGTGGGCGACAGCGGACGCCTGGGAGGAGGGGGGACCCAGACATCCAACGCATTGAACAAAACATCAGAACGGAGGTGCTTCGTCGTTGTCGGCTTCCCCGGGCCCTTTCCGAACCCCAGGGCCGCCAAGAGCTACTCACGATGAAAAACCGGCCATGGGGAAAGGGTCGGGACTTCGGGGGTCCCATATGGGAAAAGCAAGACGTCGGATGTTCGGGATGGAAGAGGAGAGGAAGAGGAGGGTCGAATAATCATACACATATACATAAACCCTCGAAGCTCAGCACGGATTTCTTCGGTCGGCGCTGGGCACCCCCTGGCGGCGCCTCCGGCGAAGTGCTCTGTGGCGCCGAGCACAAGAGGGTGGCGCGAGGGGGGCGGCCTTCTGAGAAGGCGGGGGGCATTTTAGAAGGCAGGGGCATCCTCAGCAGGGCATAGAGGCTCCTATGAAGGCTTCTTGGAATTCTCCTGCCTTTGAGAAGTTTCCCCGCCGTCTTAATACGAGCTTCAAAGGCCGCCCCCATCGCTCTGCCTCCGTGTGTGCGCCACCAGGATCTCCCCTACACCCGTGCATAAAATGATCTGCTTTCGTGCAGCTCGTAGCAGCAGAAGAGCCGCTGTGCGGACACGACGCCTTGCAGGCAACCCAGAGTCATCAGAGTCAGGAGCATGCAGCTCCTTGGGCCTGAATGTGTCGGGGGGGGGGGGACGGGCCCCCGAAGCAAGCTGACGAGGCACGGCTGCCAGAGAGAGGCTGGAAATCTGCCGAGAACCGACGAACACGCCCGAAAACCGAACCTGGTAATTCATCGATCCAGCAAACGCTCGAAAACCGAACATGGTAATTAATCGATCACGAAGACGCCCGAAAACCGAACTTGGTAACCTCTCGATCCCGAAACCCCCGATAATTGATGTCGTGGGACGCGCGTCGCGAGCACCTGGGTTTCCATGGGGGGCCTCTGCGGGAGGCCTCCCCGGAGGCCTGCGGAGGCCCCCGCAGGCCCAGGAGGGTGCCAGACAGAGGAGGAGGGGGAAGACCAAGAGGAGGAGAGGGGCTGGTTCAGAGAATGGAGAGGTGAGGGAAGGGAAAGAGCGGAGGTTGGGGAAGGGGAGGAGGAGGGGGAGGAGGAGGAGGAGGAGGAGGAGGAGGAAGAGGAGGAGGAGGAAGAGTACGTGGACAAGAGGTGGGATGAAGGGGAAGGAGTACGAGGACGGAGAGGAGTTTCGAACAGTGCCAGGTTCTCGAAGATCTCGAAGAAAAATGGATCTTGCAGATCCACGATGACAGCGCTCAGGAGCACCACAAAAGAAGCTCCACCGGGAGGAATTGCGCGCACCAGCACAGACATGCTCACGCAGAGGAATATTTGCCGGTCAAAAGGTTAGATCCACATGACAGTGCCGTATTCGCTGTCCTATTTCACGTATCGAAGGGCCTTCCGTGTTCCTCTTTTCGTCAGGGCGGACCGGAGCGAAACGCGTTTCTATGTCATGGTTCTGAATATGTATCCCGACCGGCGTTCTGAGGATTCATCTAATAACAAAGCCTTGCCAGTAAGCGCGGACGGGGAGGGGAGGCCTCTGGAGGTCACCAGGCGTCCTCGTAGGCCTCCAGAGTCTCAAGAGGCCAAAACGTCCATAAACTTGGAATTGGTACCCAAACCCGTCACGAGAGGGTTTGGGGGGGGCATCAAGGAGGTATGAAAGGGCGCGTCCGCAGCGCCGGGAATACGGAAAGGTGGGCCCCAGCTTCAAGCTACCTCCCCCCCCTCCCTTCCAAAAAGGGGGTGGAGCTTCCGAAGCTACCCCCCCCTTCCCTTCTGTAAGGGTTTCTACACTGGGGGGCCTACTCTAAAGTGAGCTGGGACAAGGGCGAGAGATATCGAGCGTTTGTCCGCGGCCGCTTGGGCTCAAGCGGCCGGCCGCCAATATATGTTGCGCCTGATTGCGAGGCACACTGCTTGCCATCGAGACCGAAAACATCTTCGCTTGAGATGCCCCGTCGCTCCCGCGACGACCTCCTACGTCTGGGACTATCGTTACTACGGTACAGCAGAGTTGGATATGGGCTTGCCTCTGCTCTTGATTCCTGTCTCAACCCTCCTCCTCCTCCTCTTCCTCCTCCTCCTCCTCCCCTACTCCCCTCCTCCGCCTCCTCCTCCTCATCCGCATGTTCCTTTCACCATCATCATCATCATCATCATCATCATGTTTTTTTTTTTTTTCGGCTGCTTCTCCCTCTCCTCTTCATCCTCATCTTCCCTGCTCTCCCCTCCGATCCCTTCATTCCGCGTCAGACTCGTCAGGCGTCATCGGCAAAGACGTGCGCGGTTCGCATGCTCGCGAACACTTGCAAGACCGCATCTCAGTCGAACCTTGACCTCATCGTAATTAAACAGCTTCGGCAGGTCGGGGCATTCAGAAACCCGCGATCGCGGGCGCAAGCGTTATCCCCCCCCCTCTCGCCTCCCCGCCCCGTCCCAGGTATCATCCTCCGAGAAGGGGTGGGGGCTGATGGGAAGGGTGGGAGAAGAGGGTAGATGATGCTCGCGTCCGTCATCGCGGGTTTCTGAATCAGGGGTACCTGCAGCGGGCGCCGATATTGCCGAGCCGTGAAGTCTGCTGGCCGACTGGTAATCTTTTTCTGTATATTGATTATTTTTTCTAACAACAGAATAGGATCTACCCCCCCTGGCGTTATCACTTCCCCTTTCGGTTATGTAAATCGTCTACGATTCTGACCACATGTCCATCCTATATATGAATTTACACTATCCCCGGGGGGGCGGTATCCCCCTTTCTGAGGTTCCTTTTAACAAATAATATATATATATATAAAAATAAAAAATACATATATATATATATATATATATACATATATATAACATTATGCGGTGACATTGCTTGTTATAGCATGACACGTTTTCGCGAATCCCGTGCAAACAAATGGGACGAAGTGCACACGCGCGCGTCGTCGTCGTGCGCATGCCGAAATCCTTCAAAAGCCTTCGGTGCCGGAGGGATTTCGCAATCGAGTTTCCAACACACATACGCAAACACAGTGTTTCGCAACACTGGTTTGCTAAAAAAACTTCCGCGCGAGCTCTTGCGAAATCTTAAGAAAACCATATTCTAGATGTTCACAAAATGCTATTAAACGGGCTTCGCGCGCGCATGTCAAAATATGTCGAACGCCCTTGCGCGTGTGCCATCGCGAGAATCCTTTTGGACAAAATGGGACGAAGTGCAGACGCGCGCGTCGTCGCGCGCGTATGCCGAAAACCTTCAAAACCCATCGGTTTCGGAAGGATTGCAAAATCGCTTGTCCAAAACACCTACAAAAACACAAGGTTTCGCAACACGGATTCTCAACAAAAGCGTGCGCGCGCGCTCTTGCGTCGTCGTCGTCGTCGTCGTCGTCGCCGTCCTCCTTCCTCCCGCGTCGTCGTCGTCGTCGCCTACGTCGTCCTCTGTCTTTCCTCGTGTTCGTCGTCATCGTCCTCTTTGGCGTCGTGGTCGTTTCCGTCGTCGTTGTTGCCGTGGTCGTCATTCCTCCTCCTCCCTCGTCGTCGTCGTCGTCCGTCGTCGGCGTCTCGTCGTCGTCCCTCCTATTTCGTCGCCGTCGTCGTCGTCGTCGTCGTTGTCGTCGTCGTCTTCCCTCCTCCCTCGTCGTCGTCGTCGTCGGCGTCGCCGTCCTTCCTCCTTCTCCGTCGTTCGCGTCGTCGCCGTCCTCCCTCCTCCCTCGTCGCTGTCGTCGTTGTCGTCGTTGTCGCCGTCGTCGTCCTTCCTCCTCCCTCGTCGTCGCCTTCGTTGGCGTCGTCGGCGTCGGCGTCGGCGTCGGCGTCGTTGTCGTCGTCGAAGTCGTCGGAGACGTCGTCGGTGTCGTCGTAGTCGTTGTCGTCGGTGTCGTCGTAGTCGATCTTAAGAGGTTGTGCGAACCAAGTTGCGGGTGGGTGGGTGGGATGTTTGCGCGAGCAGTGGAGATGACGACTTCAAGTTCGGCAGAGCGGGTTGCACCACATAGGGTATTGCGTTTTCTCTCAGCTCGATCCCGCGTGGTGGGAGACACTCTTCCCCGTGGGCGTCGATATCATATATGATGAGCTCGATGCCATGCTCGATTAGGTAGGAGCGAGGGGGACGAGCAAACGGTGAAGGGGGGGGGAGACGGAAGGGAAGGGAGAAATGAGGGACGGAATGTAGGGGAGGATGTAGGAGACATGATGGGGGATCGAGCACGTTGACGGCGCGCGATGAGGGCGTCCCGAGATCGAGAGCGCCGACGGGGCGCCAGACATTTGAGTTCCTGTCCTGCCCGACCCCCCCCCTCCCCGCGCCCTCCGCCCGTTTGTTTCTGATTTCCCTCCCCCGATTCCGAAACAGAAAGTTCTTAGAAAGTGCAAAACTTTCTTGGGCCCTATTATTGGGTCTTCGTGGCCCCGCTTGGGCCTATGTTCGGCCCCTTTTAGGGGCCTTCCTCTCGGTGCTGGGGCCCGCCCCCGCCCTTCCCACCTCCCCCTCTCCTCCGCCGCCGCCGTCGCCATTCTGGGTTGCGCCACCGCGGTGGCGTGCGCCGAAGGCCGAGGAGGCCGAGATGAGCCTCCAGAGGCCCAAGTCGAAGAAAAACCGACGACGACGACGACGACGGCGGCGGCGGCGGCGCCTCCTTCGACGGTCACGGCGACGGCGGCGACGACGACGACGACGGCGACGGCGACGGCTACGACGACGACGACGACGACCCACGACCCACGACTGACGACTGGCGACGGCTGACGACGACGACGACCGACGCCCGACGACGCCGAGGAATGACGACGACGACCGACGACCCGACGACGACGACGACCACGACGACGACGAAGACGACGACGACGACGACGGCGGCGGCAGCGACGACGACGACGACCATCGACCAATCGTGGCGGCGACGGCGCCGTCGCCAAGCGGTCTCGTGCGTGCACGCGGCACAGACCAGTGCCCGTGGGCAGCGGCGCCCCGCAAGAGGCTGATG